TCTACTGTTCTGCTTCCCCATCGACAGTAAGCTCTGTCCTCGTCAGAGACAATGAAAGAGTGCAAAAGTGAAATTAGATATTCAGGGCTAGAAAAACTAGCACTTGCCCTGATCTCAACAGCAAGGTGTCTATGACATTATTTCTAGAGTCACACCTTTGTAGTTGTCACAGACTAGCCTCTAAAGAGAGTTCTAAGAAAGTCGGACGTGTCTGGGAGACTCTTTAAGTGGGCAGTGGAGCTAGACGAGTTCGACGTCAAATACCAACCAAGGGTAGCCATAAAAGCACAAGCCTTAGTAGATTTTATTGTGGTGCTCACACCGATAGACGAGGAGAGCAACAAGCCTTCCACACTTCAGCAAGCTTCAACGTATTCGGACAATCAGGAGCGGAGCCTGGGTACGTAAAAAAATGTGATGCCTGGGGAGGACACCCAAGCGCCCAGACAAGACACTCAAACGCAAAGGCCAGATACCCGAGCATCTAGACCAGGTGCCTAAGCACCCCAGCCTGGCACCTAGGCTCCCATAGTGACTTCTGAGCCCTCTTCTTTACCAATCTGGAAGCTCTATGTGGATGGCTCCTCGACCAACGAAGGAGGTGGAGCAAGCCTAATCCTGATCAGCCCCGACGACACTCCCATCCAATATGCTGTAAAGCTCCACTTCATCACCTCTAACAATGAGGCAAAATATGAAGCCCTCCTCTCTGGGCTAAGGTTGGAATTCGAAATGGAGGCCCAACACCTCATCACTTATAGCGATTCTCAGCTGATAGTCAACCAAGTGTATGGTGATTTTGAGGCAAAAAGAGCTAGAATGAAGAAGTACCTTGCTATGGTGTGAACCTTGCTTACTAAGTTCCACCACTTCCAAATCTGTCACATCTCGAGGGAGGACAACATGGTCGTATATGCACTCACCAAGCTTGCCTTATCCTCGGAAGCCCTACCAGGACTAACATTCATCGGTCACCAATTCTAACCAAGTAGGCTAGACGTAAAAGCCAAAAATATCAACTGTGCATCTACTGAATCAAACTGGATGACCCCGATAAGGGTATATGTCCAGGAGGGCATACTGCCAAATGACCCCCGAAAGCCAAGAAACTAAGGATAAGAGCCTCCAAGTTTACCATCTTACAATATACCTTGTACAAGAAAGGCTACTCCTTGCCATTACTACGATGTTTTTCACATGAAGAACCTAACTATGCCCTGTGAGAGATCCATGAAGGGTTTTGTGGAAATAACTCCGGAGGATGCTCCCTCACCCACAGGGCACTCATAAAGGGCTACTTTTGGCATAGCATGTTGAGGGACGCCCAAGAGTTCACCAGGAAGTGTGAAAAGTGTCAACACTTCACCACTATGGATAGGCAGCTGCTAGAGGTGCTAACAGTCATCACGAGTCCGTGACTTTTTTCCAAATAGGGCATCAACATCCTAGGCCCCCTACCTCTGAGTAGAGGATAGTATAAGTTTGTAGTGGTAGCCGTCAACTACTTCACTAAGTAGGCAGAGGTCGAACCCTTGGCAAAGATAACAAATGCAAAGGTTAAAGACTTTATCTGGAAAAACCTGGTCTACCGCTTCGGGATACCCCACGCCATTGTCAGTAACAATAGTAAGCAATTCGACAACAAGCTCTTGAACTCTCACTGCTCCGACCTTAAGTTAAAGCAACTTCATTGCAGTCCAGCGCACCTGCAGGCANAGGATACCCCACGCCATTGTCAGTAACAATAGTAAGCAATTCGACAACAAGCTCCTGAACTCCCACTGCTCCGACCTTAAGTTAAAGCAACTTCATTGCAGTCCAGCGCACCTGCAGGCAAACAGACAAGCAGAATTCATGGTGAGAACAGTGTTACGCAACCTAAAGACAATGCTAGAAAGAGCGAAGGGTCTTTGGGTTGATGAACTCCTAAGTGTATTATGGGCCTACCGAACAATGCCAAGAACTCCAACTAGAGAAACCCCCTTTCTCCCTCGCCTTTGGAACTTAAGCAGTCATATCAATGGAGATTGGGGTACATTCTCTAAGGGTCCAACACCATGACCCCATCACCAACGAGGAAGGACTCCGCATCAACCTCGACTTGGTAGCGGAGGCAAGGAAAATGGTCGTGGTTAGCAATGCGGAGTACAAGCACCACATGGAAAAATATTACAACTTGAGGGTAAAACCTCGTTCCTTCCAACCTGGAGACTTTGTCCTTCAAAAAGTGAGCCTCGCCATAAAGGATTCGCGAGAAGGAAAGTTGGGACCAAACTAGGAAGGACCCTACCTCATAACAGAAGTGGTGAGGCCAANTAATGCGGAGTACAAGCACCACATGGCAAAATATTACAACTTGAGGGTAAAACCTCGTTCCTTCCAACCTGGAGACTTTGTCCTTCAAAAAGTGATCCTCGCCATAAAGGATTCGCGAGAAAGAAAGTTGGGACCAAACTAGGAAGGACCCTACCTCATAACAGAAGTGGTGAGGCCAAGCACCTACAAGATCCAGAATTTCGAGGGTAAGATCTTACCCCATCCGTGGAACGCTAAGCACCTAAAGAGGTACTATCAATGACACTTTAGTAGAGTAGAAACAGTTGGGGAACTTGATTTTATTTTTTGTATCTTTTTTGAGTTTATTGCCCATTATTGCTTAATATAAGTAGTGAATGAATAAAATTTTCCAAGTTCGTTTCAAAAGTTCTTTGTATTCTATTTCAAAAGGAACATCAATAGCAAAAAACCACTTTTACAAAACCAAGGCTGCAAATTGCCTTTCTAAAAAACAAAAAAAACAAAGTCCCCAGCACTCTGACTATTCTCATGGTCGTCCTCCTCCTCCCCCTTTGCATCACAATCTTCATCAAAGCCTCCATCACTATCATCAAGCGCCTCATATGGCACAAAGCTTGAAAAATCAATATCAGGGAAAGCCATAGAAATATTTCCTCGAAGCTCCTCATAACCATCAATAAAAGACATCTGCAAGGCTAGTCTTCAAATCACTCTCAGGCCTGGACGGCTCTTTAACAAGCCAATAGTAAATCTGTCTCAGCCCGAGAAGCTCTCTCGTGAGCTGCCTTTATCTCTACCACCGCTCTCAAGTAGGTATCCTCTCTGAGTAGGCCCTCTCGTGGGTCTCCACAAGCTCAGCCTCTCTAAGCACGGCCCTTTCACGGGTCTTCACAATCTCAGCCTCTTTGAGTGCATCCCTCTCATGGGTCACCAAAAGCTCAACCTTACCTTAGTCGCCCTCTCATGAGTCTCCAAAAGCTCTACTTCAACCCTCGTGCAAGCATCCTCCCTAAGCGCGACCCTCTCATGGGTCACAACAAGCTCAGCCTGGGAAGCCCTACTGGCAGCTTCAAGCTCAACAATCCTCCCCTCAGCAGCAAAAAGCTCCCTAGTTACAGCCTTATGACTATGCTTCAACTGACTGTATTAATGGGCCCTTGAAAACAAGCATACGGATACAGTTGAAACCTAAAAAAGACAAAAGACAAAGGAACGTCAAACGCATAAGGAAGGACTAGAGAAAGGGAGATAGTAGACCCTTACTTGAGTCAGGCCTTTCAGAAAGGTGTTGACGATTCCATGAGTGCCCAGAACACTGATCTCATTAACGTCAGGCAAAAACACAAATTTACCAAGTCTTTCCCTGATTACTCGCACGTTACCCAACATAGGGCTAATCTGAGTGGGCCCCCTATAGAAGCTCCCATATGAGGAGTTAATAAATGGGGGGCAGGAGGTGTGGTCGACAAGGGATTCTCTAGAGTAGCAGTCACAACTGAAGGAGTCGCCGATCAAGGAGGCACCACTAGAGTGGTCACTTGAGGGGAGCCCGCTCAAGACACCACTAGAGGGGGTCACTTGTGGGGATCCCTCATCCTCACCACCTTAGGAGGAAGAGTGCTCCTACTAGAGTAGCGAGACCCAACCACTATTCTATCAAAGTGTTATCTAGATGAAAAACACCAAGTAAAGGAGGAAAGTACAAGAGAATCAACATACCCTTTCTCTTCAAAGAGGAACCGTCGGATCTCAGAGAAGGTACACCAATCCTAGCACCGACTACAAGGGAACTTCTGGCTCCATCGTGTTTGGGCATAAGAACTCCAAAGTCTTTTTCAAAATGAGCCCTCATGGATTGCAACTTCCACTCTTAGTCCTTTGAGAGCACAGGAGAATTTGCAAGGGGATGATAAGTACACAGTAAAAAAAAAAGAAAAAAAGAAAGCAAAGGAGAAAGAGTAAGTATAGGGCATACCAAATTTCTTAGGAGTACCTCATTTTGTTGGTACCAAAGCCCTATCAGCCTCTAAGGCCCATTCACCACTAACGAACAAGAAACAAGACTTCCAGCTATAATAGTTGGAGCGTAATTCGGTAATCAACTTACCACCTCTCGTAGTAAAATAATACCAGCCTTGATTAGGAGCAGGAGTTTCACTTAAAGTGTAAGCTGCGTGAAACTCGTTAGGAGAAGCATCCTCATGATGCACCTTTCTCCACAATACCAGAAAGCACATCAAAACTCTCTAACCATTGGGCGCCAACCACCCTAGTGTCAAAGAAAAATAATGCATAATACAACAAATGGAAGAAGGCATTAGGAACCTGAGCCCAGCATCAAGTATCTTCTCATAGATAGCAATGTCTCTAAAGGACTCATCACAAGTAGGCTCACCCATCTCGGCTTAATGGCATAGTACTGTAGGAGGAATATGGTAAGTAGAGAGAATCCACAAAATATCAGCATCCGTATTCAAAGAGATAGAAATAATACTCATGTTGGATCCATCGCCGTCGAGAGCTACCTTGCCTTGGTGTTTTTTGTTGCCAAGGCGTGAAGGGTTGCCAGAGCCACTACCAGGGAGGCCTGGAGAAATCTGATCTTGAGAAGTTGCACTTGAAGGAGCTAGATCATCACCACCACAAGTGCCCGGTGTACACTGTCTCCTGATTCCAGAACCAGGCTCGCCTAGACCATGGACATGAGCTAGCTCGCCTGGATGGTCTCCTCCATTTAACTCGACTACTTGCTCGCTCAAGGCGCTCTCTTGCTCGCCCAAGGCAGCCCCAGCCTGCCCCTGAACTGCCACACCTGCACGCCCAACTACGCACCCATCAGCAACCTGTGCGCCCTACTCTCTTAGTACTATCCCAATCTACTTGCTCTCCTTCGTGCAAATAGCCCGCGGGCTCACCTCCTTAGTGACCAGTGCGTTAGCGCCCCCCCTTTCGGCGCCCAGTGCCTTCACTCCCGTAGCCTTGGTTGCCTAGACCCTTTTAGTTACGGCATGCAACAACCCAAAGTCAGCGTCATCTCTGTCAGTATAGGTTAACTGATTCGCCTCATGGGATAGCCCCCAAGGCGCCTGGCACTCGTCAATCCGGGCTGCAACTCCATCAAGGCGCTCTCTTCCTTCGATCACTATAACCTCTTGTTCATCTCCCTCACTCGCCATGGATTCCGGACACCACTCAAGAAGCTTCTTGAAGGATTTTGGGAAGAGAACTCTCCTTCTTTCCCTCAAAATTATATGAAAATGGGTAGAATAAAGAAGAAGTTGTCTATTTATAGCCTAGGATTTTTTAAATCCTATTAAGGAAAGGAGAAAGCAAAAAGGACCAATTTATAACCTAAGNCCTGTCAGTATAGGTTGACTGATTCGCCACATGGGATAGCCCCCAAGGCGCCTGGCACTCGTCAATCCGGGCTGCAACTCCATCAAGACGCTCTCTTCCTTCGATCACTACAACCTCTTGTTCATCTCCCTCACTCGCCATGGATTCCGGACACCACTCAAGAAGCTTCTTGAAGGATTTTAGGAAGAGAACTCTCCTTCTTTCCCTCAAAATTATATGAAAATGGGTAGAATAAAGAAGAAGTTGTCTATTTATAGCCTAGGGTTTTTTAAATCCTATTAAGGAAAGGAGAAAGCAAAAAGGACCAATTTATAACCTAAGGCTCTTCAAGAATCCAAAAGGGGAAGTAAAAGAAGGAGTTTATATATCTTATGATGTCCCACGGGCAAAAGGAGTTTACAAGAAGGAAGGGAGTCATCAATCAAAATAAGTCTCCAAGAAATCCAAGTTCAAGAAGGCTTGATCACTATTTTGACTGTAACTTTTGCTCCGTAACTCCTAACGGGGTTTATTATATATCAAATTGAAGCTCTAGACGAGCTCTACAAAACACACTACCTTTGGCTATGACGGATATTGTTAAAAGTCCAAAAAAGTCTTAGAAACATATGTTTTGGCCTCTCAAAGTTTTTTCAGTTGTATGTTCAGCCGAAATTCAAATTCAATTGAATGCTCTCTACTCCTAGTTCCATTAAACACAGGGCATTGAGAGGCAAATGATGGGCCAAGCTCAATGGCTCAACTCATGTTATAAGCTCGATCTGAATTAATTAATAGCCCAACTCCAAGAGATTTAGCAAGTCCAGCCCAAAGTAGTCCATGCTCGGTCAAGTTAATTAGGTTCGAGGAGCTACATCACTATCGGAGTATGCAGGATCATCCAAGAGCCTCATCCATGTCACCTTGAAAATGGTCAATCCCCATGTCATCCTTTGACCGAATCTCATGGAGAGCACCGTAACCGCCTCGCCCATTGAGAAGAGGTCACCAGCTCTACCAAATTAGTCACTTAGTTCTAATAACTCGCCCCAATCTATTATGAGGCGACTATAAATTTTAAGCCCTACCAAGACCTGGGGGGGCATCACATTCAATTGAGCACAACTCTCTCCTATCTCTCTAAGTCTATAACTCTCTACTATAAAATACTTGGCAACCCTAGTCATTCAAAGTAGACGTAGGTGACCGAACCGCTATAAATCTTGTCTTACATTTGTCTCTATCTCTTACTTCTTAATTACTGCTCATTTGACAGGTGGTGTACAAACTCAATTTGTGCATCATCAAATTGTATTGTTTGTATCTTAATTTAGATTAGTTTTGTCTAATTTTTTATTGTCTTTACATAAAGACACTAAAACTTTGTATAAAATTGAAAATATTTCTATTACACACATATAAAACACTTAATTTCTCTAAGTTTAATGATTCTTTTTTTAAGGTTTGCATGTTTAACATTTGACCTCAATAATTGCATACACACTATCACTACAACATCAAACCCAATACTCATATGGACAATGTCACCATTTTTGGACATGGACAATGTCACCGTTGAATGATGACAATGGTGATAAATTCATACGGTTTATAAATGATCAATATTTTATTTATTACTTAAAAATTATAAATTTTATTAGGTTCATTAGTATTTGTTTTTTTTGGAGGTATTTATATATGCACTGGTATTTTGGGGAGTTATTTTTTATATATTTTTGTGATAGTTCTATTAATATAGAAGATATGATTGATAATATATTTTGACTCATTTTAAAAGAATTGATATGAATATTTTTAGATCATTTTCTTTTTCAAATTAGACAATTACTTCCAATTTTTATGTATATTTATATAGTGTATTCAAACACAGGGGATGACTAGTATCTAATATGAGCTTCAGCCATGTATAGGCAGTTGGCATTCTTCTAGTATGACTGTTCTCCCATGAGACAGCAACCCGTCACTCACGGAATTAGATCTCCTCCATCACTCATTCTTTTCAATTCTCCTTAATACAGTGTTAGATGAGTGACATGTGTAAAATTTTATGCATGTCACTAATTTAGCATTGCATTAAAAAAAATTGAAGAAAATAGATAATAGAGGGAATCCGGATCCCTCACTCACACACGCACACACAAAACTACATATCTCTTAATTATAGGCACTTAATAATTTATATGTTTTATGTTTTAATTGTCTGCTTGACTTGGATGACGCAAGTCGTCTTACACCCGTTTGCACGTTATCAATTTGTTGACGCCAAAGTTCTGAAGACCCAAGATGTGGAATTCAACCTACCCGTGGAATTCAACCTACCCGTTGAATTCAACCTACCCGTGGAATTCAACCTACCCGTTGAATTCAACCTACCCACTCTCTAGAGTAGTGGTTTGGACTTTAGGAGAAGGCCCTCTACACCACATATGGAAAATCCCTGACACCAGTGGTGATGTAACGAATAATTAGCGTGTATATTATTTTAAAGTTGTGCGCGTGAAATACTAATCAATAATAATATGCTCTTTTTAACTTAATTATTCAATTGATGTATTCGATGTCATGACACTAATTCGCTAATTAACCATGTTATTTTTAAATTTACGAGTATAACCCACTCGGCTAGTAATAAGGTTAAAAATACCCTGTTGTATAAGGATTTAAACAAAATCAATGTTACAAAACTTAAATAAAATTCAAAAAAAATTATAATTCAAATGTATATAATCATTTATATGAGTGGATCTTTTCAATTTTTCAGCGGAGTCCACTCATCCCGCACTTATCTAAAGGATGATATGTATTTGAATTTGAATTTTTTGAATTTCATTTGTATTATGTATGATTCACCTATACAATGACTAATAAAAATATGAAAGGTTAACATTCGTGTACGAAAATATCACTTAAAAATAATTTGCGTATAAAAATGATATTGCTTATGTTTGGCAAGAATTCATCCCATTTGTCCGGTATATTAATGAGTTTATATAACTGCCGTGTTAGAAGTAAATAAATCTTAGTCCCTATTTTCGGTCCAAACTGGACCGAAACTGTGACAATCCCTCTTCCTTCCCTTGGTTTTCCTATAAGAGTAATAGCGTGATTTGTTGAAAGACACCAAGTATTGAAATCAAGAAAGAACACATACACACACATACACCCCAAAACATAGTTATACATGGAGGCATACCAAAAGATTGCAATTTTGGTTATTTTGTTGGTAGCCAATGCCAACAATCTTCAAGTGTGCTATGCTCAAACCATCTGCAACATGTCCGGGGCGGATCTCATGGCATGCAAGCCGTCGGTGACGCCTCCGAATCCGACCCCACCATCGCCGCAGTGTTGCTCGGGACTTTCGCGTGCTGACTTGCGCTGCCTTTGCTCCTACAAGAACTCAAAGCTCTTGCGTTCCCTTAAAATTGATCCAAACCTTGCTTTGCAGCTCCCTGATAAGTGCAAGCTTCCTCACCCAGCCCAGTGCTAGAATATTGGGCAACCATCTGCTATGGTGAAGTGATAAACTGTTGAACTCTTACTACTCTATCTAGTTATGTTATAAGGAATTATGGTGTCGAGTTCGGCACCACAATTAAGGTTTCTAAGTTCCCTTTTGTTATGTAATGATGCACTTGTGCCTATGGCCTATAAACCTGTACTACACTATATATGAATCACTCTCTTTCTCTCTCTCTCTCTCTGTCTCCCTATGTCCTTTCCGGCAGATACACTACAAGAAAAAATAACTTTTAGTGTCGATAAAAAAGGTGTGCCCAAAAGAAACTTTTTTTATTGGAACTCAGACTGAAAAAATGACCTTTTTCTTCGCAAACGGTTCTTGGCAATGAAACATATTTACATCACCAATTTGTGGTTATTCAAGTCTGCAAAAATTTTTTAAGACAACCTAGTTTTTCGTCATGAAAGGTTATCTATTGGTGTCAAATAATTTATCGCTAAAAAGGATAAAATTTTGTCACTAAAGAGTTGGTTCGACAAACATAGAAAAGTGGAGGGCGAAAAAAAAATGATCTTTGGTGATGATATTGTCATGGTGGCCAAAACGGTACACATCTTAGAATATTTATTGTTTAAAAAATATATTTTTTAATTTGGTATATTTATTCACAATAGCAACCAAAGATTGATTGGGCCACTCGAAATTGTCGAAGGACTATAATCCTATATTCATCAAATTGAGCCGATGGGATGATACTCAAATAAAATCTAAATCTTCTGACAAACCTTAGCATGCCCACCTAACATCTCCCCCAAGTACTACCTACGTTGCTTCACTGAAAATGGCGTGTCTTTCACTTCAAAACAATGTCGTATGGGCTTCAACACTCTTCCTCACTTTCTTCGAAGTTTTCTTCAAAATCAACCCTCCTCAAAACTTTATTTACATATGCAGTTAATTTTAAACTTATTTTTCAAATTCAATTTTATTTTAAAAACGTCATTTAGAATGACGCTTTCATGTATAAAATCGTCATTCTAAATGACGTTTTTAAATTGAATTTTTTTTATATAAAACGTCATTTATAATTACGTCTTTAAAGACGTCATTCCAAATGATGTTAAAAGCATTGTAGCCAAACGATTTGACTTAACAAATGTTAAAAAATTGTTCACTTAAAAACGTGATTACAAATGATGCTTTATGGGAATAAAATTCCAATGCCCCTTTCCCAAATCTAGAAAACCCCTAATTAACCAAATCTCTCAGTTACCCAAATCTGAAATCCCCTTTCCCAATCAACCCAAATCTCTCAATTACCCTCTCCACTCCTACCGACCAATTCCACTCAGGTGTAGGTAGGTAACTCCGACGAAGAGCACTCTTCCGGCGAAGATCACTTACTCGACGAAGACCATTCCAGCGACACCTTTTGCAAAAACAAAGATCCCAAATCCCACTTAGCTCTTAGTTACCCAAATCCAAAATCCCATTTCCCAATCAACCAAAATCTCTCAGTTATCCTCTCCATTCCTCCGACGAAGTCCACTTAGGCGCAGACAGCTAACTTCGACGAAGACCACTTCTCCAACGAAAATCACTCCTCCACGAACCCATTTAAATTATTCTCTCTTCTGCTTCTTCTTCTTCTTGTTCAGGTTATTGAATCTTTCCCTCTTCATGGACGATATGTATACATAGAAAATCATCATAGTGTATTGATTTGCTTGGACTTTAGCTTCTGAATTTTGCTTTGAACATGTTCGTCATTTGTGGGTTAGGTTCTTAACTAAATTGATTGCTTGATTTTTTGCCTATTGAATAACAAAAGAACCACCATTTTTTGTGATTTGAATAGTCTAGACCAACACTAGTGGAATCCAAATACCCTTTTTTGATTTGAATAGTCCAGACCAACCAACAACATTTTTGTGATGTCCAGACCAACACCATTTTTGTGATTTGAATGATTCACTATATGTGGTCAATCCCAGCTACAACATATCTTATATTAATTCTTGGAGCAGGTTGTCATCGTCTTTATTGGTTGTTATTGTTCTTTCTATTGATTTGGGTTGGATTGAACCAATAACGAGTTTCCATTCTGCTGAAACATGTGTTATTAATTTGTTAAGTTATATTTCCTCAATTGTTCACTTGGACATTACGAAATAATTTATGTTGGCCTAGTTGTTTTTGTGAAAGTGTACCTAGGATCACAGTCCTTACAAGCACAACAATTGTCATCATATGGAATAGGTTAAACTCTTACCTTTATGGGCATGAATGTTCACTGTTCTTGACTCTACTAGATTTCCTATTTTATGGAGTATCTATACTCATTTTTGTGAGAAGTTAAAATTTTGGTTGAAGCTTGAGAAGTGTGGTGGGTGGGGGTAGAATTTCAATAATAACTACTACATTCTTAGGCTTCCAATAGTTAGAACTTTTCAGAGAGTAAGATGTCTACTTAAGGTTTTTTTTATTTACATGGATCCTGAGTACTACATCGATGGATCCGACCGACGCATACATGCAATGGTATTGTCCTATCACTCAACGTCTTGTTGGTCCACCCATCGTTAGGTCAACTGTAGATTTTCAGCCAGTTGGGAGCATCATAGAGCTTCTGGTAAGATGTTAAATGCTTTACTATTCAATTTGAAGGACAAATGTTACTAATTGTTTAATACAATTACTAATATGTTGTCATGTCTTTTGTAAGAAGAGACACTTACACGGATATATCACACTGCACATGGTACATATGAGGGCAGCCCGGACTTGACACATTGCATGGACACCGTTGGTCGTATTACAGATATGAGCTCCTCATGTTTGGCATCTCTCCAAAAGCACCGACAACTTGTCAAAGCTTCAGTCTCGGTAGATGATGTACCGTTTACATCTGCACAGTCACCTCTTCATCTTTACCATAATTGGACTACTTCATTATCTTCACCATCAGCATCAGCACAGGCTCATGCACCCTCACCAATATCAGCATTGACACTGAAAACGACGCCTACACTTGAGCCTACATTGATACCGACAACGACAGCTGCATCACCATTAGCACCAGCACTTGCTCATGCACCGACCCCTTCACATGCACCTACACCGGCACTGCCACCGACACCGACACCGACATTGACACCGGCATCTGCACTTGAGCAAACACCGACACTGACAGCGGCACATGCACCCTTATCAATCTTAGCATCGGCACCAACACTAACCCAGACATCTACCTCGACATCGACACTGGCAGGGGCATCTGCCCTTGAGCAAACACAGACACCGGCACCGGCAGTGGAACATACACCCACATTGACCCTAGTATCGACACCCACACCGACCCCGACACCGACACCAACACCTATATTTACTATGACACATTGTCATATACATATGGATGTTCCCATTTTCACTCCACTAGTAGTGTCAATCAGAATACCAAGTGATTAAGTGACAAAACCCTGAATGGGTTTCAACATACCATGTGCTGAACTAAATTAACACTAAATGGGTTTCTGCATACCATGTGTTGAAGTGAAAACATAAATTTGATAAGGGGAAACACATTTGATAATGGGTTTTTGCATACCTGCTTTATAAGTGTAGTCAATCTAGTGACAAGTCATGTCAGTCCTTTTGTTATTCATGAGTTATGTCAATACTTTATTAGTGTGGAGTCATATCATTACTTTTTCAGTGTGTAGTCAGTCTAGTGATAAGTAATGTCAGTCCTTTTGTCATTTACGAGTTATATCATTACTTTACCTGTATCAAGTCATGTTAGTCGTACCCAATAATTGTGCTGTTAAATTTATATATAATTTTTGGCTGAAAGTTAGATTTGAATATGCGTCATTTTTGTTAATGGTTTAAAAACATGGCATCTAAGCAACTGCACCAGAGTTTTCATGGAACCAGCCTGGGGCTGACCTACTAGTTCCAAATGTCATGACAATGTTCAACCTACAGTGGTTGAGTTCATCAACCTCTTATGCATAGCCCTTGACGATCGCGACTTCTACTAGTTTTTTCGAAAAGAGGACATGTCTGAGCTTGTATCTAAACTCCTACATCCTACCCCTTGCTGGGAAAAGAGATTTTTCTTTGCCTTTAGGGATGGTAGGGAGTTAGAACAGGCTATAAAAGCTGGTCCTTAGGTTTCTTTGATCTGGTACCCTCCATCTAACACAAGTTTTGTTACTATTTTTGTTGTGAATCCTTGTCCTTTTTGCCTTAAATGACTCTTGCTTGTTCACATTTGTAGTGGAGACGCCTCCCTTGTGCCCTAATGGATAGATTAGGATTGAGAGTACTATTGAAGGAGGAGGACCCATGCCTCTTAGGATTGTAATTATCCCTGTGAGACTTGTTTTCCTTGGTCTTGGTCCCACACTTGTTGTTGTAGAGGAAATCCCTTATGATGATAAGGGATTTGTAGCAGCTTAGGAGGATGATGATGATGCAGGGCCAATTATAAAGCCGGTGGCTAAGATTACTGCCTTGTGCGAGTAGAACTGATAGGATGGATCTTCTTCATCTAGCAAGTAGTAGATGGGGGGCTAACTGAGCTTTGACCATGGTACTTTTTGTTTTTTTATTTTAGAAAACTTGTAAAGTTGACACCGTATGTTAATGGATGAACTCTTTTTTGCCTTCTTTGCTATCTTCCTAGCCCCTTGACTTTTGGAAGAATGTTAATTTTATAAAATTCATTTTTAAACTTTATTTGAACTTGGTGAAGCACTTGAAAATCCCATATTTAATTTTGTTGAGCAAGTAGACTTAATTCAGACTAGGCGAGGGGCTTAAAAGTCTCGTCTTTACTTATGTTGAGTCGAATAGACTCAATCTGAGTTAGGCGAGGGGCTTGAAAGTCTTGTCTTTGCTCGTATTCCATCGAATAGACTCAATTTGAGCTAGGTGAGGGGCTTGAAAGTCCCGTCTTTGCTCTTGTTGAGTCAACTAGACTAAATTCAATCTAGGAGAGGGGTTTGAAAGTCCAAATTTCATATTTGCTCATCATAAAATAATAGAAAAAACTTGGCGCTTTTATGGACAAGGAGATAACATAGCTTTATTCTGAGGCATGTACATTGGAGGGAAAATTTTTTAGGTATAATCTTGTAAGCTAATGGTATAATCTTTTTAGGTGTTCTGCATTCTAGTGATGTGGAAATTTTATTCCTTGCAGAGTTTTCAGATGATAAGTCTCAGGTCTTACTA